AAATGGTAGGGACCTAACAGAAGCAGAAGACATCAAGAAGAGTTGGCAGTGGCAGATAGTGACAGCAGCCACAAAATTAAAAGACTCCTGCTTCTTGGGAGGAAAGGAACAAGAAACCTAGACGGCATCTTAAAAAGCAGAGACATCACCTTGCCAACAAAAGTCCGAATAGTCAAAGCTGTGTTTTTTCTAGCTCTCACTTCCAGATATATGGAAGTGAGAGCTGGACCATAAAGAAGGCTGACCACCAAAGAATTGATGCTTTTGAATTGTGGTGCTGGAGGAGACTCTTGAGAGTGGCCTAGACTGCAAGGAGAACAAACCTATCCATTCTGAAGGAAATCAATCCTGAGTGCTCACTAGAAGGACAGATCCTGAAGCTGAGGCTCCAATACTTTGGCCATCTCATGAGAAGACAAGACTTCCTGGAAAAGACCCTGATGTTGGGAAAGTGTGAAGGCAGGAGGGGAAGGGGACGGCAGAGTGCGAGATGGATGGACAGTGTCATCAAAGTGACCAACATGAGTTTGACCCAACTCCGGGAGGCAGTGGAAGACAGGAGGGCCTGGCGTGCTCTGGTCCATGGGGTCATGAAGAGTTGGATACTGCTAAACAACAACAATTTGTTCACTGATTTCATCTTGGAGAGAGAACAGATATGTGTGTTCAGTGTTTATGTGGGAGGTTGCTGGAGAATCCTAATTAGGCCACGGTGACATGTGCCTTAATTACATCCCAGTTGAATGCACTCTGTGCCTTTGAGGAACTTCAACAGACCCAAAACGGCCAGATTGTTAACTAGGGCTAGTTGCAGGAATCACATAACTGCCCTGTTACAGCAGTAACAATACTAGCTTAAATATATTTAATTCTTTTTAATACTCTAATAATGTATTGTTCTTAGCTTATAATATTGTTTCTTTTTTTCAATACTGTAAGGCACATTCAGTCCTTTTTTGGAGGAAAGTGGGATATAAATATTCAAGATAAATAAATAGTGGTTGTTGTGGGTATTTTTGGGCTCTTTGGCCGTGTTCTGAAGGTTGTTCTTCCTAACATTTTGCCAGTCTCTGTGGCCGGCATCTTCAGAGGACAGCACATAAGCTATATAAATAGCTTACTGGTGGCCAGCATCTTCAGAGGACAGCACATAAGCTAAATAAATAGCTTATGTAATGTAACACTATGGAAATATAAGAGGAAGAAGCATTTCCTTCATGAAAAGCTTCTGTGTAGGAAAAACCATGTGTCCCAATAAGTACGAAGAGTGGCATGATGTTATCTAGAGACAAACATGAACTGGGTCATCTCAGGTCGTCATGGTGGCAGCACAAGTGCTGCTGCTCCCTTTCCTGCACCTCCTCAATGGATCTGCCAGTCCCAGCAACAGCTCAGGCTTCTCTGCCCGCGCTCTTGGCTGATCTCCCACTCAGACACAAAAGATGTCCCAGCAACAGCTCAGGCTTCTCTGCCCACCCTCTTGGCTGATCTCCCACTCAAACCCAAAAGATGTCTGTGCTCTTGCTCGTTACTGGGAGGTTAGCTGAGGAGGTGAAAAAAGCAAGCAAGCTGGGCCTGGTGAGTGGCTGATCAGCTGAGGTGGGGGAGGGAAGGGAGCAGCAGCACCTGTGGATAATCTGGGATAAACTGGTTCGTGCCCATCTCTAGTGTTTTCTATAAATTTATACAGCAGTTATCCAGTCATTGACACATATCAAAATACTGGTGTTGAACTTACAATGTACTTGCATTTTCTTACACGGTGATTGCCTCCATTTAAGAAACATGTAGTGGATGTTGTTGTTGCACTGGGCCATTTAGCAAGTGCACTGGTTCTGAAAGACAGCATGTTTTTCCCCCTTCTCCTCCCTTAGAATGCTGAGGAGTGCAATAGAACCATAATTCAGCTTGAAAATACACAGAGAAATGTCAGTAACGCTGTCCTGGAGAAACAGAAAGAGATCTCCCTCTGGAATGCTGAAATAAATGAGTTTGAAATACAAGCAGAGCAGCTGCAGGCAAAGAAACGGCAGGTAAGTTGGGCTGCAACCTACAGTCCATCCTCCCCAGTGACTGGTTTATACACTGGATGTATCCACATTACACAGCAAGCCCGAGTTCTGCAGGAAGCCTGGCTTGTCATAAGTGAACAGCATGCTTGAAACAAACCCTGGAGTTTTACTGCACAGTTGTTTTATCATATCATCTGGCAACAGGCAGCTTCTCATCTCTGGTTTGCTCCCTCCCAACAAACTGAGGAAAGAAGCCAAGAGGAAATCCTGGGTTCCTCTTCTGATTTGTTGGGAAGGAGTCCACAAGAGATAGGAAGCTGCCTGCTGTCATACAATAAAATAAGCCAATTACACAGAAAAGCTCCATAGTTTAGCTCTTTCTGCTCTAAGCAGGAAAGATTGAGTGGTGGGCAGTGTGTCCTCATGGGTAACGAACAGTGTTCTTGCATTTTGTTATGGCTTACATACACATCTATTCTTTTTTTTACCCAGAGCTGATTGGTGGTTGGCCCATGAATGTGTGAAGGAGTATATTATATTCTGGGCCCTGGAGGGGAGTCCTTAGCAACCTACTGTGTCAAGCAAGGTTCCCTCTAAGCTGGAGCTGGGCGCATGCGCGCCTCTGCCTCCCTCTCTGCAGCTGTCCTCCTCCTCAGTATCGCCGTTGTGGTTCTGGTCATGATGGAACCCTGCACGAGAGGGGTGGGGTGGAGTGAAGGAGTGAAGTCTTGAGAGAGGGGGGCGGAGCCCTGCGCAGCAGCGCTGGAAGTTAGCGGGTATGTTGGTGTCAAGTCTTTAAAACATCCTGCTGATACAATAGGTTGTATTTGCTCGGATTTTTAAACTCCCTATTAAGAGCAAAGTCTGTAGTTATGAATCATGTCATATTTTAATGGCAAGACCAAAGCAGCTATATTTTTTCTTGAGAACAAATGAGAATATAGAATTCACAGATAGACAACATGTTTATTAGGAACAACCATCGTTCCAGAATTATATGCAGGTTTTGGTTCTTCACAGTTCTTGTTATGCTAGGAGGTATGGGCAAGGGAGAGAATTATAGAAGCTCCAAAATTTGCCAAAACATTTCAGACAAGAGCTGAAGTTAGTCCCAAAACAGAGAATATAGCATTGAATATTCACTGGTAGATATGCAGATATCAAGGTGCACCCATCTGAGACAGAAATGAAACAATGGGTCCCCATTTCTGAAAACCTAAGGCTAGCTGCAAATTGGATATCTTACTTGCATGAAATACACTGGTTTCCGAGACAGAATACAGTAGAAAAAGAAAAGAAACAGCACAGTCCTAATATGTTTAATACTAGTCAAGTCTTGGTATTTCCATGCCTCTTTCTTCTTCCACTTGTAAAGCTACCTAACCTAATGAAGTGTTGTGAATAACTTGAACACTATCACAATATTCTGGAATTGGAGTTGGTCCTAATAAATATTGCCTGCTTTTGAATTTTCAGTTTTAATATGAGAGTCATTCTTTTCAGCATTAGATATAGATGTCACTTGGAAGGGCAAAGGCTACTAGCTTCTTTTTTTAACATTTTTTTTCATACATAACAAATCTAAAGGAAATCTATATATACATTTAATGTGCTCCCCACCACCTAGATCAATGGAGATACTCTTATTTCCTTCCTTCTATGGAGCCCCATTCTTCTTCCAGAAATACATTGACTCTTGTGAAGGTGCACAACTTTTATTACTTGTTAATACAAGGTCAATAAATTCTCCCCAAATATCTCTAAATTTATTCTTATTTGTCATTTCTTTTACTTTAATGTTACATGTTAATTTATATTTAATAGCTATATTCCACTTCTTTATACCATGTGTTTAGTTGACGATCACATTTAATTTTCCAGGTTTTTTTGCTATTATTGATTTAGCTGCTGTTACTAAATTTGTGAAAAATTCTTTCATCTTCCAATGTCATTGTTCACTCTCAAATATTGATAAAAGTACTATTTTAGGACATAGTCGTAGATTTAACTTTAATATTTCACTTCTTTCTTTAAAAAACAACTTCCAAAATTTCAATATATATTCATATCCCCGACACATATGAAAGTAGGTTTCCACTTCCTTACCACATCTCCAAGATACCTTAGAATATTTTTAGGGAACATTTATCTAGTCTGTACTTCTATTGCCATACGTTCAGTAACAGGAAATGCAGACAAGCAGGTATGATATGATATTTTCCTGTTGTGTTACACAGATGATTATGATGATAAGAAAACACTAAAATTTCCCATTTCTGTAGCACTTAACAGTGGACAAGGTACTAGCCAAAATCCTGTTGCTTAGCAAAGTAAATTACATTACAGTAGGCCCATTAAATCAATGAGTATTTGGTGTGTCAACTGATCCATACGTTCCATGGAATCAAACGGGCTCACTCTGGCCCATCAGTAGAACTTATGGAGAAAGTAATACACCAAATCTCTGTTGATTCAATGGATCAACTGTAGTAAGTGGTCTGAATTCAAACAAATTTCTGCTGTGTAGTTCCTTCCCCTTGAAGATTTAATAGAGGTGCTTTCTCTTTTTTCTGCTCTCTTTTGTCTCTTCCTAATGAATTCAGTGTTTCTTTTCTAAGAATCTTTCAGATATCGTGGCTTATCAGAGTCGCACAAAGCATTTGCAAGCTGTGAAGGAAGGGAGATACAACCCATTATGTCGCTCTGAGTTAATGATACGCATTGAACAACAGAAGCTGGAGGAGCGTTTGCATGCCATTAATGCCATTCTTCATCAAGCTGGACAGGAGTACCCTCATCACCAGAGGACACTGCAGAGGCTCAGCCAAATCTTAAACAACCAGCTAGTTGCACAAGCAGAAGAAGAAAGAGGGTTAACATACTAGGGCTGAATCATTTATACTGTAGATATTTCATCAATAAATATGTATTTGTGGATGACTGGAACATTATTATCTGATACCTTGCCAATGGAGGAGCACAACAAAATGATTTTGAAGTGCGGGGATGGGCAGGTGAACTTCAAATTGTAAAGTTTGCTTTTACTTCTGACTTTCCTGTGTGGCCTGAAGTACCAAGCTAAGAACAACCAGCTGTATGTGGATTGACTTAGAATAAGGAGGACAAAATATCTCCCATGAATGTAGGGACTCACAAGTTAACTTTGGATGACTGTGCTTTTCTGGAAAGCATATTGAAAATATTTACCATGTTAACACTAATGAGAATATTCCTGTCTTGTATTTGAGGTGTATCTAGTATCCTGTAATTTTCTGTCACATAGAATAAATGTCACAGTCTGAAGAATATGTAGCTGATAATTAGCTACCCTGTTCATGATCATCGGATACTGGCCAGAATCCTGGTAGTTATACTCTTTGGCGCAACTCCATTGGCATTAGTTTCAACAGCAAGCCAATTGAGATGTTGCATGTGTGTCCGACAATGTTTATACTTTTTAACTCATGGCAATTTGCCACTGAAATTAATGCTCATGGAGTTATGCTGCCATAAGTTTTCAATCAGATTCTGATCAAAATTAGTTTTTAGATACTACCTTCTAACACTTAATTCAAAGAAGTGTTACTGGGACTGATATCCCATGGTTTCATAGGGCTTGCTCAGAAGGACATTTGTTCCCTTGTTTCGTGTGTTGTAGGGACGTATTGGTTCACTCTTTTTTTTTTCTGTTGACCACATGATGAGCAAACCAGTTTACCCCAATTAGCTTCCAGGGCACCCGAACCCACACCTTTTTGAGCCCATCAGTGGCTTCTGCTTTTTCATTGTGGGTTGATGCACTCTAGTTGAGTCTGTCCCAATGTGTGTGATTGCCAAGAGTGGATAAAAAAATTCATCCTTGTCCTGAGACTGCTAAATTAACCTTGGCCACCACCCAGTTCATACATAGGACCAAGATCATGGAACTGAGTGAGACTTACTTCTAACTAAACAGAGGTCGGATTGGGCTGCATCAAAACACTATTGTCTCCACCAACTCTGTCCTTCCACTGAGCAAAAGATAATCCCCCTGCATCTCCGAGAGTACTTCTTCCACTTTGGAGAGAAGGAGCCTGATGGACCTGTTTATTGGAAATCAAGATCATCCGATTCCAGGGCAAAAACTGCTGAGTAAAAGCTCAGCACCCAACCATCAGATGATTTTTTTAAACTATGAAAATGTGCAAAAGCCAGATGCACAACATTTTTTACTTTGAATTAAACTCCTACATGAGACAAATTTCTCCTCTGCTGGCCCTTGGTCTGAAGCTCTGGGGAGACAATAAGGAGAGATTGGGACAAGAGGCTGCCTTTGACAACTGTCAAGCAAGTCCAGGAGCCTTGAAGTTGCCAGAGGGGAGGAGAAGGACATTAGGATGCAAGGATCGTGCCAAATGGCACATTGCTCCTCCCCCTCACCCCAAGCAATCCTATTTAGACTGTGCAAGCCCTCACCAAAAGGGCCAGTGTAGTTGCATTCATCACTCAGAAAATTACATTCATTGGCCTAGGTACGACCAACCTTTAAAAAAACATTTGATCAGGATGGCAAGAGAGCAAACTGTAAGTTCATTATAGGGTTTTACCCGTTATTGAGAGGCAATGCATTGCTGTGGAGAGTGTTGGACTAAGACCCAGGGGACTAGGATCCCTGCTCAACCATGGAAACCCACTGGTAGGTAGCAATAGTAAAACACTCCTTAAACTTCTCACACACCTTGAAAACTCTTATCAGAGTAGCCATAGGCTATATTTGGTTATATCTAAATCTTTAGAAACTCCTGTTATGTGCCATCAGGAGTGACCTGATGGCACATAACAGGAGTATCTAAAGGTTTGGATATCATTTAAGATAACTTCATACAAGAAGACAAATAGTCTACTTGGGTTCACAAAACTAATGTAATCAAAGGACACAACACAGAAAACTTTCCATCTGAACAAAAGGAAGTGAAGGAAGCCAAGGTCGACATTTAAAAAATGTGGAAGAACTCTTTATTGTGAACCTAATTATTGATGCTGCTCTTCTCCTTCTCGGTATTGATACTTTTAATCAAGCTGAACAAACAATTTTCAGTTCTGCTTGTGGATGACTTGTCAGATGGTCATTCCAAAGCACATAACACATTCCTACCATAGCTATTTTATATTTGTTGTGTTCCTCTGTTACTAAGATAAATGAAACTTTTTACTGCAGGTATGTTTGCTATACAGTGTTTCTCTCAGCAAACATGCAGGTATGACTAGCATGTGTATACAGACATCTTAAAAATATATACCGTACATCCCTGTGAACCCGTTAGTACAGGCTCAGTATTAGTTTTGAAATGAAATACCAGGTGGACACATCCTGCTGCTGAATACGTGAAACAGGAGGTAGGAAATATCAGTCTTCTGTATTTCTAACCATTGATAGAAAATCTATAGCTGCATGTTGTTAACAAGAAAAGTATAATGTAACTTCTTCATTTCTTAAAATCTAGAGCTTTTCTTAAATAATTATATTACTGCTGGACCTCTTACAGAGTGTTTTTGTGGACTTCCTGTGAAACTGTAAATATAATCAATGTTGGCAAAATTCTGGAAAAGCACCCATAAAACTTTTTTTAACTTTGAGTATGTAATGCAGTAATTGCCATTTTACAGTTAATTCGCCATTGCCTCTTGAGCAAGTTCAGTGCATGGTCTATTTCAAGTGTTCTCACATGTAGAAAAACATACAAACTATCCCACAGGTAATCTTCATACATTGAGCTTTGTCTTGGAACTGACACATAATGACTCCAGGCAAACCAAAGCCTCTGTGCCTTCCAAAACATTAAAACCTCCTTTATTGCTTTGTCAAGTTAGGAAAAAAAACAATCTGCAGCAGTTATTTTGTTTAGCTTATAAAATGAACAAACGAACACTGAATAGCCCACATGGACATCATTCTTGGTAACGGGACGCAGTCCCGAAAGCATGGCTCGGAAACCCTCCAAGAACCCAAGTCCGCCACTCGCAGTCCCGAAAGCATGGCTCGGAAACCCTCCAAAAACCCAAGTCCGCCACTCACACAGTTTGAGTTGCCCGGTGGAAGGAGGAGAGCCCGGGAAGGCGTAAGTCACGTGAACTGCTAGTCACATGATCGCCGGGGAATTCTGTAAACTCAACTCCGGACTTGGCGCAGGCAGCTGCTGGCGGCAGTTTTTGAGCCCGGGTACGTATTATTTTTCTGCAAAGGACGAAGCAGTCCTTGGGTGGCTTTTCCGCCTGGCAAGGAGAGAGCCTTGTTGCCTTTAGGACCTTTCTCCGCCGGCGGGGCGAGAAGCAGCGATGTGGGGCTTTTAGGGTGGCAGCACGGCTTCCTTTGGCAGGACTCCGCTGTTTTTCATATCTCCGTGAAACAAGTCTTCATTTTTTTAAAAAAGCTGTGTCAATGGCACCGCTCTGTGAAAAGTTGCTCCTGCTGATTCCCGCCCTCCCCTCCTGTCATGGCGCTCTTAAGAACACAGGAAGCTCTTTTGAAAAAACCCAGTAGGCAGTTTTAGGGCAATA